GTCTGATGGAGGGTCTCCGTTCGATGCCCTAACTCCATCGAAGCATCTGTGCATTTTGACCTACCCGCATCCCCACTCCCACTACAGGAGCAAGATAATGATGCGAAACGGTTCCCCTTGGACAGGGTACTAGACCTTCCAACACGTAGTAGCACTCAGGAAGGACCGACTCTTAGCTTCCCCTCGGTATAACCGAGAGTACTGGACCCTGGCACCACGGTGAGGTGGCCGGTTACGCCAGGGAAACATGCCTCATTTCCTTCACCTAAAATGACACTTTGTGAGTGTAGCAGCGCGAGAGGGAAGAAAGGTGTTTGCTTGTTTGACTGAAGGAAAAAGCCTCTGTTGGGGGTAGTGGAGAGAAGGTGAGGAAACTGATCCTGCTAGGAACTCTGGTGGCTTTTACGGTCACTAATTGCAATTACTGTGTTTTGTTTTTGGTTTTTTTTTTTTGCACCCGTGTGGGCTAGAAGTTTGAATGTCGCCAAACCCGGTACTGCCGCTCTGTCGCTGGTCTCACTTTGCCACACATTGTTGTGTGGGGGTTGTGCGCTCGCCGTGTAGAGGGTCGATTCTCGGGGAGCCCTTGTGGACCTGCAGCTTGCTTTTGACAGAATGTGGGTCCTCAGCCCTTCGCTTGCCGCAGCCGAAATTGCTGTGTAGTCAAGAAAAGCTGACACTGAAGTGTAGGGGTGTCCCCTTTGTTGAGTTTAGTACCTCTGAATTAAGAGAGGGTGCCCTTGTGCATGTTGTGGCAAGAATGTACAAAAAGCCAAGGTTTGTTCCCATCCATGGCACATATGTGGAGGACACAGAGCTGCTGGTCTCCGAGCAGTTTGGTTCACTGGTTCTGCTTGGAACGCTGTGACGTGGAGTGTGTTACTAGGGGGGCGATAATGTCGTTGTGCCAGTTTATTTCGTTGCCCGTTTTTTCTTGTTGTTGCTCTTGCTTTTCTTCTTATTTTTATGCTTGTTTTTTTGTTTCACTCTTTTCGTTGTTTTTTGTTTGCACTTGTTTTCTTCACCTCTCTCTCTCTCTCCTCGCTTCTCCCTATGAGTTTAGAAGCGATGCGTCGGTGGTTGCTCGGCGGCGTGGTGACAAGGTGCTCCCGAAGAGCGGGCGCAAGATGGATGGCGTACGTCGCAAAAACACGCTACAGCGTCAAGCGTCTAAGCGGTGACAGCTGCTTTTTCTTGCCAGCGCTAAGCTGCCAAGAACGATTTCAATCCTCCTCGGACAAGAAATTCCACTGTAGTGTCTGCAAAAAGGCCTTTCGCCTCGAGATGGCGGCGAAGTTGCACCTCCAGCAGGCGCACGGGGGCGACGGTGTGGTGGGGGCCGGCCCGGGCCCTGGTGTTGAAGGTGTCCCCGCCGCCGTGCCAGCGGCACCACCGTCCAGCCCCATTGAGAGGAGTTTTGCGGAGCAGGAGGAACGGCGTCCGCGTCGCATGAGGCCTACACCGAAGCCGCTTCATCAACCCGACCGTGAGGTGCCAGATGCCGACATGGCAGAGCTCCTTGTTGTGTGGGACAAAATTGGACTTAGCAGGCTGGAAGGGAGCTTTGTTCACAGCACAATGGTGATGAAGGTCTTCGCCGCGCGCCCTGATATATCAGAGCAGCCCCTCTATGAGCCTCTGACGCCTCAAGGGGATAACCCCTTCGAGAAGATGGGTGGCGTCGCCGCAAGTGCGGCGTCGGACTCCTATGTCGGGGACTACGCGTTGACAGAGGTGGACATGAGGGCTCCATTTGCGCCTGCGCCTGATCGCACCTTGAACCCTTTTCGTGCAGGGAAGGTGGACAATCCATTCTTAAAAGTGCCAACGGCGCAACGCGAGGCAGCAAGGACGGTTCAGCAGCAGCAGCAGCAGCAGCAGCAACAGCAACAACTACAGCAAGCAGTGCCAAAGGAAGAGCCTGTAACCGCGCCAATTACACCGTTCGGACAATTGCCAATGTTTGGCAGACAGCAGCAAACGAAGGAGACTGTTGCAGCAAAGCCATTGCAGCAGAGTCTCTCTGGCCCTGGAGAGGTTGCCTCTCCATTCACATCGGCAGTGGCGAATTCGCCATTTACGGGTCAAGTGGCATCGCCTTTTACTTCCACGCCTGAAACTACTGCGACACCTTTTGAAGCGACACCGTTCACAGTAGCATCACCCTTTACTGCTCCTGGAATGGAGGCGGGTTCTCCATTTGCTGCCAATGGCACACCTAGTCCTTTTCTCCAAGATGCCTCAGCCCAGCCCACCACATTCCCTATGACCATGGGTCTTCCAACACTGGAGCCAAATGTGCAAACCGAGCAGCGTGCTCCTGTTGAGCATAAATGCTCCACGTGCGGAAAGGCGTTCTCCACCTTTGAAGGGCTCGCCATGCATAGCAAAGCCAAGCATGGGGTTATTCTTGAACTTGAGAAGAAGAAGGATGGAAAGCAAAGGGGGCGCAGTGTACCTGATTTACCCGCATACATTCCAAGTCCTGTTGATCTTTCATCGACATCGCCGTTTGGAACTAAAACCGCCGTCGGTGCTTCATGGGTGGAAACTGAGCTAATCCCACATGCGCAGTGTGTGAGTAATATTACAATTGTCGGCCGCGTGCTTGATGTCACACAGGCGATGGAAAGTGTATCCCAAGTCACTGTGTTTGTCCAGGGCGAGGAAAGCGGGGAAGAAGAAACAGTCACTGTGCACTGCTCTGGTGACATCAGCACTCAGGTTCGCGATACGGTGAGGCGTAATGTCACAATATTCCTGACTGGAACACTGCGACTGCATCCCGTTTACGAGGCAAGCAACAACAAGTATTATGTGAGCCCTGTTGTGCATGTTGCGTCGCCAACAGGGACACTAGCCGTGATCACATAACTGTCAGATTACATGAGGTCTGACGTCCTCCCTCCACTTATTCTACCTATTTCCTTTTTGTACTCGAGGGAAGGGAAGATGCAGTTAAGAAAGAGAGACAAAAAAAAAGAGAAAGGGATAGAAGTGATGCCACTGGAATCACCAAGGTTTCCCTTTACAAAGGGTTGGAGTGGAGCTTTCTGCACAGTGTCTCTTGCTTATTATTATTATTATTATTGTTATTGTTATTGTTATTTTCCCTCGCTTCATTTGCTGTGTTTCCCTTCTGCCTACTTGATTTTGTGCATAGAGGAAAAGCGAAGAATGGTGGATACTCCAAGAAGCAAAGAGGCCCTCACGAAGCTCTGCAGCTTCCTCACCAGTGATCCTGCTCCTACAAGGGAAAAGGATGTGCTAGGCAACCTCTTCTCGGCGTCGCCTGAAACGGAGTTCCAAAGCGTGGAGCTGGAAGTGGCCTTTCTTCTGTCCCCTGCAGCTCATCGCGTTCCACTTTACTTCACGCTTCCGCATGAGGTGCTGCCAGGGACAATATGCCTAGTCACCCCTCCACCGCAGCGCAAGTACAAGGACGAGATTTTGCGCCTGAGTGAGGACGGCAGCGCTGTGGCGCAGCGCGTGAAGAAAGTCATTGACACAGAAAAACTCGGCACGAAGTTCGTTGACCCCGTTACCGTGAGAGCCCTTGCCAACAGCTTCGACCACTTCGTCCTGATTGGTGTCAAGAAGTACCCCATCCAGCTCACGGGAGAGTTTCTCGGTCATCAAAAACCACCGGTTTGGGTGCCGCGTCGCGGGGGGCTAAGGCGCAAACTACTCAATGCAGTGAGAACGGTGGTGTTTCAGCGACGCGGGGGCAGCGGCGTAACGTGCCGTTTTGGTCACACGGGTCTTTCGCTGGAGCAACTCCAGGATAACCTCCAGTCGCTTCTTGCGCAAATGACTAGCCATTCTCAGGCAATAACTCCGCAGGATATACTGCATATTCGCGTCGCTGGAACAAACGCTGAAGGCCGGCGCGCAGGACTTCCCATCTTTGTCCACTCGTTCCAGATTCCACGCAAACTGCCACGGACTCAAAGTGAGGAGCCAAAGGCAAAGAAACCGAAGAAATGAAAATAAGTAATTTTCTTACCGGGTAAGGAATAACCTAAGTGCCGCGTGTAACTCAGAACTCCCTTGTGCGTTCTTGCGTCTTCGCCTTGCCCCTCTGCGCCGCTGTGCTGTTACCAGTTTTGCTTTTTTTTCTTTCTCTTCTTCTACGACTGTCAGCTTCTTCCTTCTTTGTTTGCTTGTTCTTTGGTCTATTACAAGAATACATCTTTGTTGTTGTTGTTGTGTTTTTTTTTGAATCAGCACTTTAGTTTGTCGTTCAAAAAAAGAAAATGTCGTTTATGCAAACCGGTCCGGCGTCCATGCTGAAGGACGGGTCCACCTTCCTCGACGATCCCGTCATCAAGAACATCGAGGCTTGCCGTGAGCTTGCGAAGATCACGCGGAGCTCCTTGGGCCCGTACGGACTGTGCAAAATGGTGGTCAACCACCTCAACAAACTCTTTGTGACGCACGACGCCGCCACCATCCTTCGGGAACTTGATGTCGAGCACCCCGCCGCCAAGCTGCTGGTGCAGGCCTCCCAGGCCATGCAAGAAGAGGTGGGAGACGGCACGAACTTTGTTGTTGCTCTCGCAGGGGAACTACTCTCACAGGCAGAGTCGCTTGTGCGAATGGGTCTTCATCCGAGCGAAATTGTGGAAGGGTACAAGAAGGCAGGAAACAAAAGTCTGGAAATACTTGGAACCTTGGTGACCGGCACAGTGGATGATGTGCTCATCAAGGACCAAGTCATTGCCCCCATTCGCACATCCATTGCCTCAAAGCAATACGGGTATGAAAATTTCTTGGCAGATCTCGTTGTTGAAGCCTGCATCAACGCATGCCCCTCTAACGTTCGTTCTTTCAATGTAGACAACGTGCGGGTGGCAAAGCTAGACGGCGACTCGGTGCTGGCATCTAGAAATGTCCGGGGGTTTGTGATTGCGCGGAGTCCAGAAGGTACGCTGCACCATCAGAAGCATGCCAAGATTGCAGTGTATGGCTGCGCGATTGATGTTCCGTCAACGGAGACCAAGGGAACGGCATTGATCGAATCCGCTGAAGGGCTCATTTCTTATTCCAAGAGGGAAGAAGAGGTCATGGAGGGGATTATCACAAACATTCACAAGACAGGTGTGAATGTCGTCGTCTCCAACTCCACCTTTGGCGACCTCGCGTTGCACTTCCTCAATCGCCACGGCATCATGGCCGTCAAGGTTGCCTCGAAGTTTGAGCTTCGACGTCTCTGCGCTGCTGTGGGGGCTCGCGTTCTCGCCCGGCTGGACACACCGACCGTGGAGGACATTGGCTCATGCGACAACGTGGACGTGAGTGACGTGGGGGGGAAGAACATCACCTCGTTTGTTCAAGATAAGGATGACTCCAAGCTGTCAACCATCGTTGTACGCGGGGCCACAAGGAATGTTCTGGACGATGTTGAGCGCGCCCTTGATGATGGCGTCAACGTCTTCAAGGCTCTTACAAAGGACAAGAGGCTCGTAGCTGGGGCAGGCGCCGTGGAGATGGAGCTGCAGAAGCACCTGACACACTACGCTGAGGCAAGTCCTGGTCTTGACCAGTACGCCATTCGAAAATTTGCGTCTAGCTTTGAAGTGGTCGCCCGAACCCTGGCTGAGGTTAGCGGCTTTAATGGAACGGATGTTGTCACACAGCTTGAGGTTGACCACAATGCCGGCAAGGCGCATCAGGGTGTCGGGGTAGAGGACGGCACCACGATTAATGCCCTGGAAGCAGGTATTGTGGAGCCGTACCTCACAAAGTACTGGGCGATTAGCCTGGCCACCGAGGCAGTGTTAACGGTGCTTCAGGTGAATCAGATCATCGTCGCCAAGCAGGCTGGTGGCCCCAAGAACCGTCCGGATCAGGCCAGAGATGATGAGTAAAATGAGAACAGGAAGACAGAGCGAAGGGAGGAGAAAAGAAAAAGAGAAAATAAAACAGCCAACCACAACAAATACAGAAAAGAAGGGAAAAAAGGGGGAGGAAAAAAGAAAACTGAGGCGACGGCTTGCGAAGTACAGCGGATGAATAAATGGGAGGACCCCTCATGATGCTTCCCTTTCACTTCTGCCGCAGTGTATTAGCTGAAAGGCGCGGGTGGGAAGCGTGGGGGCTCTCCCGAGTAGTAACTTCCAGGTATGATTTTTTTTAATGAGCTTAAAAGCTATACATATAAGGAATACATCAGCTGTCGTTGTCGCTGCTGCTTTTCCGTTGCTTAGATGTGGGCTCGAACTCGTTATGTCGTTTTTGTTGCTGCTTTTTTCTGGCCATTTTATGGGGATGGCGGGGAATTGTGCCGCCTGTGGCCCTTCTGCTTTGTCTCTTTCCCTTTTCGCTTGCTATTAGGGGCCTAAGAGGGAGGCGATGGAACAGAATTGTCTGGATCTTCAAGGGCTTGGAGTTTCAAGCTTCTGGGGCATCAAGGAGACTGACGCTGAGTATGTTGTCATCGACCTGCGAAACAATGCTTTGCGGACCTTTGAGCACTTCGGTACCCATCCAAAGTTGGTTGAACTGCGGCTTCAAAACAATCAAATAGAGAGCTTTATGGGCCTTACAAAGCAGCCTTCGCTTGCTGTGGTGGATCTCGATGGAAGCCCCATTGCGGCCCATCCATGGTACCGCGTCATGGCGCTACTAGTAGTTGGGTTTTCCATTACTGCCATTGATGGCGTTGCTGTTTCGGAAAACGAGCGCGAAATGGCGCGGGGTTTGGGCCCTATTGCCGCCCTTGCAGTTAGCTATGGCTGGAAGTTGCAGCCAGGGGAGCGGTCGCCAGAGGAATATCGCCAAATCATAGCGGAATGCAAAAAAGCCAGGAAACGCGCTCTGCAACAGCAGCAGGGTCCATTCCAAACTATTGCACTCGCGCTTAGGCAAAACAGGAGCACCGGAGCTCTGTTGCCCTACCTCTCGCTAGAGACGTCCATTGGAAGTGACTCAACCGCGTGGAACTTGGAACTACTCTTGGCGCGTGTGAAGAAGCTTGAAAATTTACTTAGCGAGGCTCAGGACAAGCTGGATGTACAGCAGGCACGTTGGAGGGATTTAGTTGACCTGGGTCAGGTCGAGGGAATAACCGGCGCCGAACTCTGTTCTGCGCGAAGCATTTTGTTTACTGACGGCATTTATTTGCGTACAAATGTCATGGCTTCACCACCCCACGAGCGAAATGGGCAGACAAGGGGGTCCGTCATGTTAGAGGGTTCTTCCTTGGTGCTGCTTAGTTTCATGTCAAGGGTTCGCTTGGCTGAGTCGGCGCTGTGCGACATCAAGGTGGGGTACTGCCCGCCGAGTGCGCTGCGTATTGAGGGAGCATACGGAGCAGTTTTCGAAATTTCATTCGATAACGCCCTTTCTCTTTGGGCTGTGTACAAATTGTTGTACCTGCGACGCGGAATGCCTGTCCCGCCGTTGCACCTAAAGGACGAGGTTGAGGTTAACGCCATGCTGAAGAGAGAGGCAACCGCACAAATGACTCTGAACAACGCGGAGAATGGTGGTACATCTAGTAACTTGCTCAACGAAAAGAGGGAGCCCCGCAAGGAACATGCTTCGCCCCAGGGAATCATTGGGACAGTGACGTCTTCTTCCTCGGGGCGCAACTCTCTTCCAGAGAAGAAGAAGAAGTCGCCACTTGGGGATTCCCCACCTCCGGAGGTTCGAGACGTGCAACCGGCTTCGGATCCTAGGGTCTCACCGGTGGAGAATTTCCTGCTAGGCAGCGTCCTTGGTGAAGGGTCCTGCAGCCGTTCCGTGGCAGACCTCCCTGAACTACGGGCGGAGGAGTACCTGGAGGCGAGTTGCACCACATCTGAAGCGTTACGGGCAAGAACTTTGTCGCTGTCACGTAGCCAGCCTCCGCCGCCTTCGCGACTACCGCGACGTAGTTGCTCTTGCGCCTCTCCACCCTCCATTCCCAGGCGTCACCCTTCGTCCTCCCGGACTTCTGCGGTGTTGAAGGGCTCGAATGCGGTTGTGAGTCACACGAGGTCCCCTGGGGATGAACATAGTTTTCATATTCGGCGGCTTCGCGTGGCCGTCTCGGATTCGGATTCGGATTCGGATTCGTTGGCAAAGCTTCATTTAGAAAAGCGAATGTAAGAGTTACTGGGTTGAACAGGAAAAAGACAAGTGTTGAGGGTGGGTGGGTGGGTGGGGGAGAAAAGGGCGAGGTCTGTCCCTCTAGGCTGTGCGAGGGCCGATTGTTTCTGCCTGCCTGTCAGTTTCGCATTTCTCAGCAATGCTTTCACGGCATACTCGCCTTTTTACTTGTTTTTTTTTTTGCCTCCTCTTCCCTGCTCTTGTGTCCTGCGGGGAACCCTGCGTTATAGCAGCTATCAAGGTGGAAATGGAGCCACAGGGAAGAGTGGTGATTAAAATTGATGACGCCGTCAAGAAGGCTGTGGAGGACGCAGTCAACACCGAGGTTCGCTCTGGGGCGGTTGGCCGATATTCGAACCCGTCGGCGTCCGGCCATGCCACATCTCACCCACTTGCCTTGACGACCTTTGACACCTCTTCCACGCTTCCGGATTTTATTCCACTGGTGGGCGTCGCATGGCCAGAGCCGGTGAAGGCGGTCTGGAAGACCTTCAAGGCCAACTCCATCGTTGGCCTCTTTCCGGAGCTCTCCAGGGCGTGGATAACCGTAGACAATAAACTTCTCGTATGGAACTATGGGACGGGGAGGGATTTTTTTGTGTACGATGAGATACCAGAGCTTATCGTGGCTGTAGGTAATCCGGTTACACCCGCCGCTGGCGTCTTTCAGCCTCACATTACACTTGTGTTCCCTGTGGCTACCCCGAAAACAATTCATCTTCTTGGGCTATGTGTAGTGGGGGATGAACCCGCAAAAAAAGCCGAACTCTGCGTGGTGAACCTTGGCTTCTCCGCATTGGCCCCAACACTTGTCATCAAGTTTGTTGGATTTAAGGATGCGGGACGTGTCTTTGCCGCTGGAGCAGACGGGTGTCTCTATGAGCTGAAGTACACGAAGGAAAATACCCCCTTGCTTCCGCGAGTTAGACTTATTAACTATTCTATTATGTTCGCTGGCATTCCCATTTTGAGCACGGTGAGTTCACTCATGAGCAGCCTTAAGCAAACATGGGCAAAGGAAAGACCTGCGTTGCGTGACGTTGCCCTGGAGGCGAAGCGCAAACTACTGTTTACCTTGGACGCCGAGAGCACAATAGCAATGTGGAGGATAACAAGCGATGGGCTGAAGCTTCTGTCTACAATAAGGTACGGCCGGGACGCCTTCGAACGCTACCGTCACTCGGAGTCGCCCATGGATGATGCCGCGAGCCTTGTAAAGATATTTTGTGTCTCACCGTACGACGAAAATTGCTCCGTTGTCGTCATTGCATCCAGTGGAGAACAGTACCGATATGTCTGCCAGGAAGGAATGTGGGATCGTATTGACGGGAGCCTCACCTTGCGGGATCGGTCGCCCTCTTGCATTCCGGCCAATCGTGAGGTCAGCGTTTGCTTCGCCTCGGATGGCGTTGCCATCTTTTGCCACACCGAAAAGGATGACGAGGGCGCTGCCTCGGATTCTGTGGCTGTGACCACCTCCCCCAAGGCAGTTCTACCGCCGCACCACCACTGCCGCGATATCGTCGCCCACTTTGATCCCGCAGCCTCACGTATGGTGCGAGTAGACGCGATTGGTGAAGTTCCTCTGAAGGAAAGTGTGAGCCCCAACGAGTTGTGTTCTCAGGTTTCTTGCTCCCCTAAGCAGTTTGTTTTTGCGCACCGTCATGGCATCTCGACCTTTATGAAGCTACGTCCCGTGGACACCCTCCACATGATACTTTCATTCTCTGGTCATCAGACGCGTGACAATCTGCTTCAGCGGTTTTCGTCGGTGCACAGCGCCATGGACTACTGTTGTATGCTTGTGCAAATCGCTGTTGGATGTACAAACGTGCCGGCCATTGTAAACGGGCCATATATTGAGCACGGCATCGCCAACTCTCCCTTCTCGCAGATGGAGACGCCGCATGGGAAGTCACAAGGACCTCTTTCAATGGAGAAGGTTGGCTCCCAACTGATTAACGCGACTTCACAAGAAGCCCAACGTCTGGCCCGGGAAATACTTCGTAATGCGATGATGCCCAGCTGGCACGAGGGTCCAACCTCCGGCAGTGGCAGCAGACAAATTGTGGTGCAGGTTTCGCCCTTTGCGTTGGGGGTTGCGGCGTATATTGGAAGGGCACTTTATAACGTCTGGGAGATGGCGATGGGAAGTCTTCCGCTGCAGGAGTTGGCTGTCGTCGAAGTGGTGCTTTCATCCTTGGTGCGCCTGTTGAACAGCCTGAAGAAGGATGTGTGGTCGGAAAACCTGGTCCAGCCCTCTGTGCCATTTCGCTGGGACCAGAGCAGGGTGACGCTGACGTTTCCTCCTCACAGCTCTTCTGTGTCCTCGTATGATCTTAAGATGTTGCAGTCTGCCTTCTTGTACTCGGCCCACTCTCTCTGTGAGCGCGTACTGCAGACGATAAAGTTTGCAAAACAAACAGGGTACCTTCCACTCTCTTCGGATGACAGCAAGGTCAGCCTTGCACAAGTTGTGTGTGACCAAAGTGTCGCCCATCGCCTGGCACGCTACATTGGAAGATTAGTTTTGTCCACTGAGAGCAAGGTTGGAGTTTCACAGCCGGACCGCATTGGTCCATTGACGCAGCTGCAACTTGAGTGTCCTTACTTTTTCAGCTCCATTGATGTTCAGGAGTACAGTGCAAGGATTGAACTTGACCAGATCCTTTCTTCAAGCAGTGAAAGCCTTCATGCGTACTCAGAGAGTAAAATGACGGATTGGGAATCCTCCGTCTCTCGCGTGGCTGCGTCGATGTGGACTTCCGGGGCGCTACAGGGCATCTTCCAACAACTCAAGGCACTTAAAAAGGAGGACACCGTTGTCAGGCTCCTCCTCCACGCCGCAAGTCAGCTGGACCCAAGCAATGCGGCGTTTGAGATTTATCTCGCGGAACGAAACGGTAACAGAAGCCAGAGTTTCAGCTCTACGCTTAGTGCGGTGTATCAGCAAAAGGTGAAGATACTGACGGCGGTGGTCGGGACACTGGAGGATGCCTGGAATACGCACCGGAGTGTGGTAGACGACCTCCTTGGGGGGCCGCTGTCTTCGGGATCTATCTGGCAGATTGAACCCTCCGATGAGATGGCGCACTGCTTCCTGTTTGATTGGATGTGTGTGCCACGTGAGGACGCAACCATTACATCTATGCTCAAGGAGACGTTGTCCACGACGCGCTCTCCCTTCCTTGAGGCCTATCTTCAACGCAACGCACAAACGCTTGGGGAACAGTACGCACACTACTTGCGAAGAACCAAGAAGAACTACAAGAAGGCTATTGAAGTCTGCGCAGCGATGGCACAGGCGCCACTGACAGATATTCCGCGCGAGGAACGCATTCCATACCGTCTCCGGTGCTGGTCTGAGGCACAGGAGTGCGCTGCTGAGTGCAACTCCGATCAGTTAACTTTGCTGCAGGAGCGCGTCAAGCTAATGGAGGCGCAACTCCAGCTGTCAAAGATCATTTGCGAGTTCATTAATAGTGGCCTTCCTCAGCTGGACCGACAGGTTTCTGTGAGTGGGCGGGCATTGCTCACGGAGAGGCAAGTCGCATTGGAGCAGTTGGAGCTTGTGGATAATTTCGCGCTATCCACCAGCCAACTCCTTGAGGTTGCGGGTTTGTTTTGCGCATTTGGTGGAGCCGAAGTACAACTGGACGTCTTGAGTGCGGCGAACGTCACAGACGCATCGCTCTACGCCGCCTGTGTTGAACGGGCATTTCAGCGAAGAAACACCACAGTTGAGGAAACAGCACGACGAATCATTGGCAAGTGCCGACATTTGATTGCTTTTCCTTTGAGCCACGTGGCCAAAATACTCGAGGCCTATGCGTTTCAGCAGTCACCTGACGGGTCCACTCTGACAGTAGACGTCCTCACCGACTGTGGGGTGGAACGCAACATTGTCTTCTCTACGCTGGCGGCAATTGTTGATAAAAAGGATACCGTTGGGCTTCCTTGCGAGGCATTTGATCGGTCTGGGGTGACGGATGCCTTTCTGGTGCATTCACTGGCTGTCGCCCTTCATCGTGCGGTGTTCGCCCCCCATCTTGGGACGATGCAATTGCACTTTCTGAGAAATGCCCTTAACACCGTCCGTGAAGGCATTAGTAGATCTGCGTATTTTCGCGGCGATGAGAACAGCTGCCGAGCGCTAACTTCGGCGGAGCGAATACTGGAGCAGTGCCACATCGCCACCGGTCGGTTAATTTCAAGCACTGGTTTCTAGGGCTCTTGTGGGGAGCAGCGAGAGCTAGAGAAGAAGAAAGGGGGGAGGAGGAGGAGGAGGAAAAGAAAAGAGCATTTGGGAGCGGAAGGAAGGGCCGAGAGGAAAGGAAGCGTTTGGACCTATTTCGGGTCAGTTTGACATGCAGAGGGGGAATTTAGAGTTAAGGTAAGAGGGCACAAAAAGCGTATTGGTGTGGTCGTGTGCGTGTGCGTGCCTGGATCTATGGATGGATGCTGCATCGGCGCGGCGGAACCGGTGGAGAAGAAAGCACGTTAAAGTGACTTATTTGTCTCATGCCTTTTTCTTCTTTTCTTTTTCACTCATCTGGTTGTGTGTTTTATTCGCCGCTGTTTCATTGCTCGTTTTGTAGGGAACTAATATAATAAATCCCATGTCGGGTTGGCACACCGCGGAGATGTGCGGCAGGCGATACTGCGCCGCTCGCCTGGAGGACGCCCGGCGCTCCTTGGGCGAGTTCGCTGGCTACTGTGATGTCAGCTGCGAGAAGGGACACCACGTGGACGGCAATGTTTGGTACGCCGACCGCTACCTCTACCCAAACCACTGGCAGCCCGGATCTAAGATTCACCCGCGACTCGTAGACGATGGTCACGTGAAGTCTTGGTTCGATGTGTGGTCCGTGTCTGTTGCCATGCGCATGTGCGTGCCGGCATTGATTGTACTCTTACTTCTTCTGTTCGTATAAGCTCTGCAGGAGAGAGAGAGGAGGAGGAGGAGGAGGAGGAGAGGAGAGGACGGGTGTGTGGGCGCGTGGGTGGGGCGCCAGTGCTGGAGATGGGGCGGCGAATTTTACAAGCTGTGATTGCTTCTGTCTGTCTGTGTGCGTCTTCACTCTCCTCGTAAACACCGTGCCGCTGGCGCCATAAGGGGGAAGAGAAGAGGGTGCAATGACGGATATTGTCTCCCGCGTGGAGAGGCTACAACACAGAATCAACATCAAACGAGATGAAGTACAGCGCCATTTGGAGGCTTCCTTCTACCGTCAATGCCGCAGTGTCCTCCGCGCCGTGATGAAGCACGATGAAAACGGCGTCTTCGCCTCTAATCCTGCCGCGCTACCAGACTACGTGCTGATGGTTTCGCGACCAATGTATTGGAAGCTCATTTCTCGGCGCCTTGACAACTACGGATACGCCAACAAGATGGAGTTTGTGCATGACATGAGGCTTGTGATAGACAACTGCTATGCGTACAATGTTGACGACTCCCCAGTGTTAGCTTTGGGGCGGCGCCTGGAGGTGGTGATGGAGGATCTCTTCGTCACGGAGCTTGCCGTCGCGCCGCCAGACGCAAGAGAGATCATAACGCTTGGCAGGGGTGTGACGCATGCGCAGGCCCGGCAGCTGTGGGATCTTGTCTGCCGCTACGAGGGTCAGGGACAGGGAACTTCCGCGCTGCGGCAGCACATTGTTCCTTCGCAGCTCAAGTGTGCCACGCAGCGGCGCGTGCTTGCCTTTCTTCACCACAAAAAGGAAGGAAGCGATCAGAGCGGCCGTGCGGGAAAAAGTTCCTCCGCACAACAGCAGAAGCAACCGCCTCCTCGGCCTGCGAAACCGCAGGTGCCGCAGCAGCCCACCCGCAGCTTGCTAGAGGATGACGCAGATGTCTCGTTCAGTGCGGAGCAGAAGCTGGCGCCGAACCCTCCGCAGGAGCCGCAGCTGGAGCGCGTGCCGCAGAACAAACGGACGGAGTTTGCCGCTTTTCTTCCAGTTAGTCCGATTCATCTTGAAAGCTCGGACGCTGGAGATTCAGAAGAAGTAAAAGAAGCGTGATTGCTTCGTTTTTTTTTTTTGTTATGTCTCCTGAGCTGAACTGCCGCAAAACTTCTTTTATATAAATATATATGTTTTGTTGGTGTTTTTTACTATCTTTTTTTTTTCCTTGCATCTTTTCCCTACCTAGTTGCCGGGATTTTGCGTTTGCTGTTTTTTTGGCTCCGCCACGCCTCTTTCTCTCGCTTCCTTGGCTCTGATCATGCCCCGCCATGAGGGGGGCGGAAGTTAGGAGGCGGCGCAGTTTCTCCTACGGGCGGTGGGTTCTCGCCGTGATGAGCCGCCCCGTGACGAAGGAGCAATACGCCAGTGTGAGGAAGGTGCAGCGGGCGCTGCTAGGCGCATGCCCCACGGCCCCGCGGCAGGAGCTTCTGGACGCCCACTCCATGGGGCTAATCAACTTCTTGAGTGGCAAGGAGTCCAAGTTGCAGGCCCTTACGCGGCACCTCGATATCGCTGCTAATGAATCGCTGCAGCCCCTGAAGTTGTTGGGAGAGTTCATGAGCTTCATTGTGGGCAGTCTCACAGTTGAGGCGGACAAGATTGAGGAGGCTGTCTGCGATGCGCGGAAGGTTGTGGCAACCCTCACGCACGAAATTCAACGTTGTGAGGTGGAGCTAGGATACAGGCAGCAGTACGGCGGCACGAACGTTACTCGAGTGCTGGCCCAATTTTACCACACAAGGCGAGTGACCTCCTCGAGCACAGCCAACTTCGGCGGGGATAAAGATGGGTATACGCATGATCTTCTATTGGCCATCGCAGAGGATCGCGCCCTGCTACAAGAAAATAGGCGCAGACTGCGCGTTCTCATCATGGTGCAGCGGCTTCTATGGGGATCTGGTAATGTGTCGGCGGATGATGCCGAGCGTATGCTTCGCGACTTTGGTGTCACGCTTACGATTCTTCGCTTTAATCACAAGTTGAGGGACCTCATGCTTCCACTCAAGCCAGAGTCGCGAAACTCGCTCGAATGTTTGAGTTCCCTCGGGGAATTTATTGCGAAGGTCCATATTGGGCTCTCCGCGGCGACGGAAGATTTAGATGTATGCCTTTTGTCGCTAAAAAAGTGTATTTTGATGCACGAGGAAGACTCGAGGGTCCGCCGCATCAGCGCCTTGCGCGAGGCACCCGCTGTAGAAGTTTCTTCGGTGTTCCATGCATCGCGGCCCAACCGGCGGGCGTCGACATCCGCAAGGGAGACCGAAGAACTCAGCAAATTGTATTGCTCGTAGATGGTGCTTTTTCACACTGTCTTTTTCTGCAAGCGCAGCATCATTTTACGTGGCCTACGCCTGCTTTGCTGCCCCCCCCCCCCCTCCTCATGTGCGTGGGCGAGCACCACAGTAGCAATGTGCTTCCGAACCTACAAGCAAGAAACCAACGCTTTAACCAAGAAAACAAAAAGAAAGAAGTGTTTTACCGGCTACATTCGTGGCGAGTTACCGTAGCATGTGACGCGTTCTTTGTGTGTGTGTGTGTGTGTGTGTTTGTGTGTTGCTCTTGTTGTTGTTGGAGCCCTCTCGTCCTCTGTTGCTCGGTCGCCCCGTTTCTCTCTCACCGTTCTTCCTCCTCTTCGTCTGATCCTGACGCGTTGCTGGTTTTTATGCCTGGCGGCTCCTGCTTTGCGGCTCTGGAGGAGGAAGGAGGGGAGGGGAGGGGAGGGGAGCTGGCACGGCGACCTGCGTGACATGAGCCGCAAGCGGTTGCGATCGTCCGAAGCGGTGCAGTATTGGCTGATGAAGTCGGAGCCTGACAAGTTTTCGATCGACGACCTCAGGGCGAGCGGGCGCTCTGCGTGGGACGGCGTGCGCAACTACGCGGCGCGAAACAACATGAAGGCAATGAACGTCGGCGATCGCGTCTTGTTTTACCACAGCAATGCGAAGCCGCCCGGAGTGGCGGGCCTCGCCACGGTGGTGCGGACGGCGTACCCCGACCACACGGCGTTGGACCCAGCGTCACCGTACCACGACGCAAAGGCGACGAAAGAAAAGAACCCCTGGGAAATGGTCGACGTGCAGTTTGAGGAAAAGTTTTCTGCATTGCTCTCGCTGGAACGGCTAAAGGGCGAGAAAAAACTGCGTCAAATGCAACTCTTCACAAGGGCTAGGCTGAGTGTACAGCCCGTAACGAGAGGTGAGTATGAACATATTTGCTGGCTTGGGCGTGGGGGAGAAGGGGGAGGCCGGTGATTCCAACAAAACCCCACTGGTCATGTGTGTTGACGCAAACTGCAGGTGTTGTGTCATTTTGCGGCGCTGATGTTTGAGTCATTCACTCACCGTCATCATCGTGGCACCGCATTTACCCTTTTTCTCCCCCTCTTTTCATGTTTATTACTGGGCATTCTTTTCGTTCCGGTAGCAACGATGCATAGTGGGGCGGTGGCGGTTCCCTTGGCTGCTGTACCGTCGCAGTTGGTCTCGCTGCCCCTTCCCCCGCCACCTCCGCCGGAACCGCCGAAGGCGTCGTCGGCGTCGTCCTCAGTTCCTCTAGCAGCTGCGCCGCGGGTCTCATTGGTGGGCCCGCCGCATCCAGAAGTGCCGACGCCTCCACTGGTCCCACTACCACGCGTAGCACGCCAGGAGGCGGAGCGACCGCCACCCACCGAACCGCTTCCCGCAGAAACCCCTCCCAAAGCGAATGTAGAGGGCATGGGCGTTGCCTCGCAAGCGGAGCTAGTGAATGTGTCAGAGGAGAAGAGTGCGGTGGTGGAGCAGCCGGGCTTCGCGGTGTACCCTCCATCCTGTGAAAAGCCGCAACTGCAGCGCGTTGCTCCATTTGGTGAGGTCCAACTCCCCTGCGCCTTTGCTGCCCCCGTTTGCGTGCCGGTTACAGAGAGTCTCTCCACTCTGCCTCAGCAGTTGCCGCCCCCGTACGTGGTATTTGGTGGGGCGCGATATGAGCAGGTGCCGTTGGCGAAAAAAACACGGCGCCACCTTGACTCTAGTGGAAGCTGTCAGCGTGCTACTGCACTGAAACGAGACATGCTAGCATATATGCGGGCACAACTAAAGCTTGCTGGAGAGTACTTGCATTTAGGGGCACCGGAGGTGCCCCTCAACGCACCACATGGACGGGAATTATCAAGATCCACTACCGTTACGGCGGAGTTTGCTTTGTCGTCGGGGGATGGTAGCTTTTCACAAAATAACATTTGGACTGTAGCCTACACAGGTACTGTGAAGGCACTGCATACCTTCATAGAATCCCTTGAAGTGGACACCGTCAACGCTAAGGGTTTTGTGCTCTATAATCGGCGACAATATGGCATTAAGAAGTGTGGTGAGAGATTTCTTTTAGGTCTTGGCCGTAAAGCTACGCCGATTCAATTTGATGCAGTCGCGGGACATCTTGATAATGTCGTTCTTCTTCTTCACTGTGGTGCAAGGGATGATTCAGCTCCAAGATTGAAGGATATTGTTGCTGCCGACGCTATGGAAATCATCCAAGAAGTAACTGCAGGATCCCGCGGTAGGCGAGCTGCCCTGGGCAGTAAAGCGAAGGCGGGTCACGATGTCCCTGTGACGCGTGCCCCAGTGCCGTTGAGGGCCGAGGAAGTAGTTCCTCCAGTGGCTGAGGTGTGAAATACCTCCAGTGGGTTTCATTGCGATAGATGAGACGTATCCTGCGTACACGCCTGAACGCATGCTTTAGCCTGGATGAAACGGGCGTCTGGTTTGAGACCGGTGACATGCTTGTTTTGACTCGTTTTTTTTCTTCTTCTTCTTCTTTGTCGCTCTATGGTTTTCCTTTCTCTTTTTTTCCCCTTCTATTATTCTTTGTCTGCAAGTGTCCGTGTGGAATAGTCTCTGCGTCATCACTCCCCTCTGCATGGAGGCTTTGCTTGATAGGTGTCTCTTTATCAGGGCCTGGACGGATGCAAAGGTGGAAGACCTGGTGGAGTACGCTGCCACTGACAAAGGGCGTCTGTTCCGCACCGGCCCCTTTACCTCCTTTGACGTAAAGGAGTCGCAGCAGGGGGATGTGAAGCGTCTCCCCACCGGAGCGCGCACACTGCTCCTCGACGCGGAAGCCAGCAATGTTGTTGTCCGCGGTGTGGATAAGTTCTTTGATGTCGAGGATGAGGAAGCCGAAGCGCTGGACAAGGACGAACTCTGGGAACTGGGTCCTGTCTGGTTGCAGCGCAAGATGGCCGGTTTCACAGTCACCTTGTTTTCCTTGGACGGCGAGTCTGTCCGCGTTGCCACGAAACATGTTGTGGAAGGCCTCCATGTCGATTTGGCCTTGGGCGTACTGAACCGCCTGTTGTCTGCCGAGCAGCAGAAATCCCTCGCTGCTGACCTGTTCTTGGCAGAAGCTGCGGTTAGCTGCGAGTGTATCACTGTCGGAGAAGATCTGCACCACCCCGTGCTGGAACGAGGTGAGTATGACAACACGATGCTTATTTTCTCGGTGCATAAACGAAACGACCTTCGGGAGATTGCGATGCCCGTTGAAAAGGTGCAAGTGCTGGCCGAGCGGTGGGGACTGCCGGTAGTGCCTAGTTGGCGTGCCGGCGGTCGTGGTGAGCTGCAACAGTGGCTTCAGCAAAGGGAAAAGTGGTGGGGCAAGGGCCCGGATGGGATACCGCTCGCGGAGGGGTACGTTGTACTTGTTGAACTACCCGTAACGCGAATCGCACCGGCGATCGTGCTCGAGGAGCCGTTTAGTGTGGCGCCGCTTCGCCTAAAGGCGAAGACGGTAAAGTACCGTCTTCTGCGCTCTCTGCGCTCCATTGTTTCGAAGGAATCCACAGAGAGCCCAAAACTGTTTCATGAGGTTCTTGCGGTGTGGTCGGAGCACATTGGCGGGTATAAGTGCTTTAGACAAGCGGTGCTTGAACGTGGCGTATGTGAACTTTGTTCACAATTTGAGGCGTACGCCTCCACGCACAGAAGGACGAGGGTTCGTGGAGGTCATATGAGCGTTGGGCAGGCCTTTGAAAGGCTCATCGAGTTTACAGAAGGAGAGCTGCTTCTGCGGCGACAGGCGCCGTTGAACGTCATTATGTTGTGTGGCATTCCAGGCGCAGGCAAGACCACTCTGGCTCAGGCCCTTGTGGCGGTGGCGGGGCGGGGCGACTCGCCCTTCCGATACGTCGTCAACCTCAGTAGGGATCAAGTTGCCAAGGAGGCCGCCGCACGCGAGGGCATTGACGACTCTTCCAGCAAGCACAAGAAGAGAAAACTCAGGGCATTGGTGCACCGTGCCTTCTTGGCAGCAGTGAACAGGGCAGTGTCGCTTTCGCTTCTTCAAGATGGTCCTGGCCTTCTTGTTATGGATGCTTGCCATGCCAAGGCTGAAACGCGGCGTGTGTGGCGCGGGGTTTTGCCCAAAAAACTGGAAAGTTTTCGTCTGCTTTATGTGACCTGCGCAGACCACTCAGAGCTTTTGCGACGCCTTGCCAAGCGGGAGGATCATGAAGTGCTCCACAACGCTGACGAAGCCCAGGCCGCTCTTTACGCGGTAAAAAAGGTGTTTTTTGCTCCCTTGGACGATGAACCATCCGTCTGCTTGGATTCCGCGAGCACCGCGGCGGAGGATATGGCCCGCCACGTCTTTTCCCTATACGGCATGGATGCACAGCGCCATTCCGTCGTCTACGATGACAGGGGAACTGAAGCAAAACTGATAGCACTTCGGGCGGCACTTGTTGAGTCCCTCGTTGGATGCGTTGGCGAAGGGGCCTTCATGCTGCTCGCGAGCAACACCAAACGAGCAAAGGCGCCTAACGCTATTTTAGTGCGGCTGGAGGTGTCTTGGGAGGAGCTGTTTCAAATCGCGGTGGAGGCCATCATGGCCGCGGCAACAGCGGACTGCTCGACGTTAAACTGGTGGGAAAAGTGCAAGCGCGCGCTTGGAATGGGGCTGAGGCGTCGTCACTCGACCATCGAGGATGGACACACGCGCTGGATCCATGGGTGGCTTTTTGACGGCTGTGGGGGGGGCAAGGCGCCTCCGCTTGAAGCATGGCGTCGCGCTCTTACCGAACGCTTTGATTGCCGCCCTGCCACCCCACATGTGACGGTTGCCTACGATGCCTCCAGTGCAGAGGCGTCCCCTTCGGTTCCCAGCGCCGGCAGCCTAGCCGAGGTGACCCTCACCTCCGTTTTATTTGATCGCTTTGCCATTTGTTTGGGCGCCGAGGTTGTTGTGAACGGACTGCGCTACGAGAACCAACTTGGGTCGTCTGCTGCCGTGCCGTTGCATGTGACTGTGTGCCACACGGCGCATGTAACGTCCTCGTATGCGGGGAAGATGTTTCTTCTTTTTACGGAGTGGGGGCGCCACAACGACGAACTCCGGCACCTGAGAGGTGGTGCTGAGGTGAAGCGAAGTCGATCCAAGTTTTTCAACTTTCTGAGGCTGCGCCTGGAGAAATCCATCTCTCTACGAGGGATCGTTCTTGTCGAAACGTAAGTGCGTCTATAATTGTCTGTCGACGCGGCATTGACCGATATGTCTCTCTTACTTTTTGCCTCGGTTACTCTTTGTCTGTGGGGTTTGTGCGCGAGATGTCTATTGATATGAGGCAATGCCTTGAGTTTTGCCTTTGCTTTCAGCCTCCGCTTCATCCTTTTTCTTTCCATTTTTTTTCTTTAAATATTTCTCTTTTTTTTCCCCCCCGCTGCTTCCATTGGTATGCCTGCTGCTGCTGCTTCGGCTCCCATCGGATTGCCGCAGGTGTACTAGCAAATGCCGGAGACGATTGACAGCGCGGCCGTCCAACGCGCAAGGGACGATTACATGCAGCATTTTTCCGACGTCTTCTCGGAGGAGCTCGTGAAGGTGTACGAGTCGGACGGGAGCGCCACGGCGGTGGAACACCTCACCGCCTGCATCGAGATTGGGGTCGCGGTGTGGGGCCACCCAATCGTCGTCAAAAATCCGCTGGGGTGACGAAAGTGATATCGCGCCGTTTAATCGCTTTAATTGTGCGACACCGCATTTGTTCTGCCGCTGCGTGTGTCCGTGTTGTGTTGTGCAACGGGGTCGTTTTTTTTTGTTTTTCTCCTTGCGCCGCAGTCGCCCTTTCTCTCTCTCTTTTTTTTTGCTGTTTGTCTCTCCTCCTTTCTTTGGGGTTGATGCATTCGTTTGCTTCCGTCTCGCACGCGTTCTCTCCTTCGTTTGGCTCTCCGTTTCTTTTCCCCTCTTCTTTTTGTTTATTGTGTTTTGCTAAGTGGGGTTTGCTCTCGCCCCGTTCATCCCCTGCGCGCCCCCTCCCACACACACACACACACACACACACG